GACTTGGGAATATTTTCCGACTGTTTTGCTTGTAAAAGCTTTTCTTGAATAGCTTTTTGTTGCGACTCAATTGCTTTTAGCTCTATTTCGAGCTTTTCGAGCTCAGAAGAAGGCTTTAACGTGTTACCTTCCTCATCTGACGGCTTAGGCTGAGCATTTTCGTCGAGAAAATCAATTAAACCTTTTAAATATTCGTTAGTCTGTTCGTCAGAATCGAACGTGTTTATAATCTTTTCGAGTTCGGTTCGAATTACTTTAATAATTTTTACCTTTGTCTGTCCTTCGATCTTTGCTTTATCGACTTTCAGATACAAGCCAAATTCAGTCAAGTCTGCAACACGCAACGCCAACAGTTTACCGTCCAATATAATCTCTGTTTCTTCAGCTGCAGCCATATTTATATCCCAAAGCCAAAGGTCACGCCGTATACTTTATACATTCATATTGTCGCCAAATACGTTGAAATACATCTTTAGATTCCCGCCTGAGCCCCCAAAATGTTACCTTCACTCTTTGTTCTTTAGTGTGTAACTTTATTATTATTTAAATCTCACATTTTAACAGTATAAACATCGAATCTCACAGCTATTAACTCTCTGTCTTTTCTACACAATACAATTCTCCTAATCTCAATACCGCATGCTCTGTCACGCCATGTGACGTACTTCCGGTCTATTACTAATTACGTAATGTTAAATTCCGTAGGGTACAATTGCCTCTAGAGAGAAATTGGTTATTCTCTTTGGGAGGCCTCGCAGTGCCTCGGAAGGTCGTCTCCAATTGGATGGGGGTTTTTTAAAGAACGAAGCAATTCATTGTTATAAAGACAAAAGCAATTGTCAAATCGAGCCAATGAAAATCACTCTTCCGAGCTACTGCGAGCCTACCCTTCTCTTCCTTCCAGTTAAATAACTAATGAGGTCACACCAATATGGCCGGCTCATTAGAAGAGATGTGGGAAGCTATATCTTTCAAGTTACTCAAAAGAGGATATTTGCTTCATAGTATAACTAATTTAAACACGTAATGAATTTATTCAAAAGAAATGTGACATTTAAAAATCTCTCCTCATTATAAATATTCTGAGTTCGAAACTAATAGACAATTCCCATTATAGACTAATTTTAAAACTTGGCAAAATTTAAATTTCAAGTTTGAACTTTTGTAAGGCTATATTTTCCGTATTTTACAACATTTCGAAACCAAACTTTGCAATTTTCCTGATTTTAGTATACTCTTTCCGGGAATATACTTTTTTTATAGATAGAGAAAAGATAAAAAATTAGTCTATAGTGGGAATTGTCTATTCACTTCAATTCAATTCAAAAGTGTTCTGTCCAGTCCTAGTTTCGAGATCAGTTGGAGCACGCTAACGCTAAGTGAATGCTGATAATTTAGTCCCTTTTTTACAGGAACATCTTCCGATGAAGATAGTGAAGAGGATGGGAGTGGAACAGATACTGACAACAATGATAATGATGGTGATGAATCTGGTGACGATGACGAAGATGGAGAAGACGATGAAGAAGATGATGATGATGATGATGATGATGATGATGATGATGGTGACGATGATGATGAATCAAGTGATGATGACGACGAGGAAGAAGAGAGTGAAAGTAGCTCTGACTCTGATATTGAATTACCTGTTGGTCCAATAAATCTCTTGATGGGTGGACTACCTTTATGCCCTTCCTCAGCGCAATCTAACGACCAGTCAGAGAATACGTGATATTTAGAGCTTTTTATTGTACTGTATTATCCTGCCAAATATACTAAAAGTCACGACAGACGTTAATTAGTCATACTAAGGTGTGTCACTAAATAAATTGTTTTGTGTTCCTTGGAAAATATCAGGTTTATTTATTTCAATTGACCTTCAATCCATCTAAACATTAGGTATATATATATGTGGGATACATGTTGGTCAAATATTCATTGAATAAGTGTAAGGATGGCAAATATAGTAATAGTTATGTACGTATGAGAAAATTTCTTGAATGATTTTACTTCTGTTTAGTATAATTTTGGACGCAGCAAAATTGTGAGTTTATACCATAATTATGTTTAATTTTTGGGTGGTTTTGTAGATGGAAATTATCGAGTGGAAATTTATACACATTTATTACACCTAACCAGGAACAGCTGCGAAAAATGCAACTATAGGTTCCTGGCAGGAATCGGCCCTGCAATTCCGGAACAGTGCTCGAACCAACTGAGCTACAGAGTCCAGTTGTTGAACTCCAACCTCGCGTTCCCAGGGCTTGAACTCTAACCCAGTGGCGGAAATCTTGGTGGGGCGGGGGGCGGCCCCCCCCCCCCCCCCCCCCCC